ATATGTATATCATACACAGGACACTACTGTGATATGTATATCATACATAGGACACTACTGTGATATGTATATCATACACAAGACAATACTGCGATATATGTATATCATGCACAGGACACTACTGCAATATGTATATCATAAACAGGACACTACTGCGATATATATATATCATACACAGGACAATACTGCAATATGTATATCATACACAGGTCAATACTGCGATATATATATATATATATATCATGCACAGGACACTACTGCGATATATATATATCATACACAGGACACTACTGTGATATGTATATCATACACAGGACACTACTGCAATATATATATCACACAGGACAATACTGCGAAATATATATATCATGCACAGGACACTACTGCGATATATATATCATGCACAGGACACTACTGCAATATATATATCATACACAGGACACTACTGCGATATATATATATATCATACACAGGACACTACTGCGATATACATATCATACACAGGACACTACTGCATTATGTATATCACACACAGGCCATTGTTGTGATATGTATATCATGCACAGGACATTACTGTGATATATATCATACACAGGACACTACTGCGATATATATATATCATACACAGGACACTAATGTGACATGTATATCATACACAGGACACTACTGTGATATGTATATCATACATAGGACACTACTGTGATATGTATATCATACACAGGACAATACTGCGATATATATATATCATGCACAGGACACTACTGCAATATGTATATCATACACAGGACACTACTGCGATATATATATATCATACACAGGACAATACTGCAATATGTATATCATACACAGGACAATACTGCGATATATATATATATATCATGCACAGGACACTACTGCGATATATATATATCATACACAGTACACTACTGTGATATGTATATCATACACAGGACACTACTGCGATATATATATATATCACACAGGACAATACAGCGAAATATATATATCATGCACAGGACACTACTGCGATATATATATATATATCATGCACAGGACACTACTGCAATATATATATCATACACAGGACACTACTGCGATATATATATATATCATACACAGGACACTACTGCGATATATATCATACACAGGACACTACTGCGATATACATATCATACACAGGACACTACTGCATTATGTATATCACACAAAGGCCATTGTTGTGATATGTATATCATGCACAGGACATTACTGTGATATGTATATCATACACAGAACACTACTGCGATATGTATATCACACACAGGCCATTGTTGTGATATGTATATCGTGCACAGGACACTACTGCGATATGTATATCACACACAGGCCTCTTGTGATATGTATATCATGCACAGGCCACTACTGTGATATGTATATCATACACAGGACACTACTGCGATATGTATATCACACACAGGCCTCTTGTGATATGTATATCATGCACAGGACACTACTGCGATATGTATACCACACACAGGCCTCTTGTGATATATGTATATCATGCACAGGCCCCTACTGTGATATGTATATCATACACAGGGCACTACTGTGATATGTATATCACACACAGGCCTCTTGTGATATGTATATCATACACAGGCCACTACTGCGATATGTATATCATACATAGGACACTACTGTGAAATGTATATCATACACAGGACACTACTGTGATATATATATCACACACAGGCCACTACTGCGATATGTATATATATCATACATAGGACACTACTGTGATATGTATATCACACACAGGCCACTACTGTGATATGTATATCACACACAGGACACTACTGTGATATGTATATCACACACAGGACACTACTGTGATATGTATATCATACACAGGACACTACTGCGATATGTATATCATACACAGGACACTACTGTGAAATGTATATCATACATAGGACACTACTGCGATATGTATATCATACATAGGACACTACTGTGATATGTATATCACACACCGCCACTACTGCGATATATATATATATCATACATAGGACACTACTGTGATATGTATATCATACACAGGCCACTACTGCGATATATATATATCATACACAGGACACTACTGTGATATGTATATCACACAAAGGACACTACTGTGATATGTGTATCATACACAGGACACTACTGTGATATGTATATCATACACAGGACACTACTGCGATATATATATCATACACAGGACACTACTGCGATATATATATATCATACACAGGACACTACTGTGATATGTATATCACACAAAGGACACTACTGTGATATGTATATCATACACAGGACACTACTGTGATATGTATATCATACACAGGACACTACTGCGATATATATATATATATCATACACAGGACACTACTGTGATATGTATATCACACAAAGGACACTACTGTGATATGCATATCATACACAGGACATTACTGTGATATGTATATCATACCTGATTCTTCAGAATCAGCAATTATATTTTCTGCAACTTGTTCCTCTTCTGATGAGATTCTTACATCTTCCTCCTCATCCAAGATTTCAGTTTTTGATTTTTCTATTATTGTTTTCTTTTTCTCTATTTTCTTTGGAGCATCTTCATTAAAAAACGAAGCAAGTTTTTGTGTTTTGGGTGCAGTTGAATTCTGTAATAAAAAAAAAAACAGTGACGTTATTGTACTTCTTGATTGAAACACATTACCTCAGAAAACAATGAGGTCATACAAATTAAACCTAAATGTGTGCAAATTTAATATCACTCTGAGCTGTATTTATAAATAAGATTTGATAGAACACATGCTGAGGGGACACAAATGTGTGGCATTCAAAGCAGTGTTTATACACTCCCATAATAGCCTATAGCTTGTATTCATATCAAACTTGATAACCACTTAGGTCAGAACCTAATTGGACTGATTTAGGCCAGAAGCACAGTGGACCTTCTCACCATCAGACTTTCTCATCCAAATTTTTCTGCACTTTTTTTTATTGGAGCCAACAAAACAAAATTCGAGTCAATTGTCAGTTTTTACTCATAAAATTTACCTATTTTTGTCCCAGACTTCTGAAGGAAAGTGCAAACTATAAACAAGACAATTTGTGAATTTTCGAAGAAAAGAGGGAACTGGTGGTAAAAAGATTTAGGCAAATATTATAGTAGATCTAATCAAGTCAGAACCACAGTGGAATATTTCAACCATGTTGTTCTATTACTACATTACATGAATGAAGATAGATGATGTAATCATATAAAGCACACATAACTGACAGAAACCATACAAAAACTGATATTATTGTAGAAAAAAACATCACCTCTTTATGAACAGTGCCATTTTCTTCCTTTTTAGGTTTAGTTTTACTTTTAGCTTGTACTTTACTAAACATTTCACCAATACCAGTTTTGCCTTTATTACTTCCCTTTTGAGTGACTACTTTTGGTTTTGGTATTGATTCAGTTGTATTCTGTGTTACTTCAGTTACACCTTGCCTTGGCCGTGGTTTGGCATCATTACACTGGATGGCACCGAACCTGTAAACAGCAGAGAGCAACCATTCATGAAACATGTCATCCTGCACATCAAAGTTGGTTTAAATAAGTTTTGGCATATTTTGAACAACTGACAATAGTACATCTAAATCAATTACAACATATTCAAATGATTAATACAAGAAAATATAAAATTATTTAATTTCTATTCAACAGAAAGTGGATGCAAATAGAATCCCCTCCACACACATAAACATTTAAGATTTGATTGAGGCAAGCATACTTACTTATTAGATTGATGTAAATGTTCCTTAGTGATATCATAGTCCACAGTATACAAAGCATTGCTGTCCTTAAGTAGGCATTTATGAATGCTATAAATATGCACACTAGTAACTTTATCTAAACTGCATTTCGTAGCTGTTAAAATAAAGAGAAAGTACTATGTAAAGAATTTACCACTGAGCCATAGTTCATTATTACTAAGAAATAACCATGTTGGAACCCAGACTGATTGAGTTGTGCAGCGGGTCACTACCATAATTTTGGGTTTTTACAATCTTTATTCAAGAATACCAGTCAGCTTGTCTGATTGTTTTCTCTGATGAGATTGAGTCTAATGATGCAGCAGTGTAAGAGACTGAACTGTATAAACCGGTACATTGAAAGAGTGTTATTCACTTACCCTCTAACTGGTTACCTCTTACTAGTGATAACTTTTTCATCTACAACAATGAAAATGCAATTGGAAGTTACAGTGGACACCGAAATAAACTGATCATGAAAACCTTTACCTTCCTATTAATTTCCCCTGAAACATTTCAAGATCTCAAGGGATATATTTAGCTGGGTTTGTTTTGATACCAGCACTTTTAATCCCACCAAGCCAACAGTTCTGGACACAACCAATTTCACAAGGGGTGTTTGGTGATAAAAACAACAATAAGAAAATCATAGATAAAATCATAAATTTGTTTTTCCATTTTTCATTCCACCAGTGTAACATGTGGAATGTTATGTTGAGAATTCAGATATGGCTGTATATCATGAAACATTCATGTCTCATCCATATTCAAATTACAACAGTAGACTGGTTGCCAATATTTTCGAATAATGTAGCAGATGGCCATCTTTCATCTTTAATATACAATATCTGGTTAATAGACCCATGCATGAGCTTTTTCAGGACAATGTTGAATTACAACTGTAAACAACTTTTGTATCTTATAGACAATATTAAAATGGTGATTTTTTTAAATCCGCAAAGTGTTCTGCGCTTGAACTAACTGATATCTGAAAGCGATCGGCAAAAATATTAAATTAATAGCTGTTATTTTTTGTTCTACAACTTTATCTCTGAGAATAGCTATGGCTGTGAATTGTGGGTGTGTATCATATACTTGTAACTTACCACCAAACCATCACCATCCTTCTGTTCACCTCCTACTAAGTATGTTACACATAAATCTTTTTTCTTCTGCTTCTGAACATACATGTAAAGCATTCTGAAAACAAAATATTGATTTGCATTCAATGATCACATGATCACACTAAACAAATTAAAGGTAATAAGTAATAAAGTTGGTATTGATAAATTACTCACTGCTTTGCTTGATTTACGTGTACAGATAGAGTCTTACTAAGCCATTTATACGTCACCTGTAAAGACACACATTAATAATAAAGCAGTGATATCATTTCAACAGTCCCAAATTGTACAATTAGTATATTTTTTATTTCATATGTACATTATACGAAAAATTCTTTGAATAAAACAAAATGGAATTTTGTAGGAAATGTAATTTGTCTTATAGTCTTACGATTATTACATAAATTTGTACAAATTAGTACCTCACTTTTTGTAACTACCAATTAAGAAAAGGAAAAGAGTGAAGTCAATCTTTTTTATAACGTGGCAAAGACTAGGTCCCAATATCACATGCTAGAAAAATTAAATGAATGTTACATTTTCTGATTCATACAGATTAGAACCTTAATTTATTAATTGGTGGGTTACGGTAGTTTAAAATTTACTCTGAACTTTGAATCCTCATAGATTTTTGTATGCAGTTACATTTTCTGCACAGATGCAAGATTTTGGTCTGCATTACTTTATACATTAATGATGTGCATGACCGTGAATTTCTGCATGGTAAATTCTTAGGAGTTTATGTAAGTGTGAGAATGGCTTACTAACAACTACTGATAATAATTAATAGTACATCAAAAACATCCTAAATTACATGTAATTTGTACATGTTCACAAACATCTCAAGTCATAATTTCATGACTTAATGAACGTACGTACTATTCAATAACAACATGTCCACTTCATCACAATTTACTAGATTTGTGAGTAATGTGAGTACCGGTACTATAATATAAATTATAATATGTTTTCCATTGACATGGATTAGCATATTCAATATACTCCAAAAAAAAGCCATGCAATCTATATGGGCTCAATATATCAGGTGACAGCAGAAATATAACAAAAAAAACAGATGATGAAAAACTAATATTCATTCTGGAAATAAGGACAAGGAATTACTAAATGAGTTATCAAAATATGTTCATAATTGCTTCACAAAAAGTAAGAAAAATTAAAAGCACTATGACAGCTGCCTCAGTTCAAACCACAAAATAATAATTATCACATAAACTATTACATACATAAGATATACATTATATATATATTTTTATGAATGTAATAATAATTTTATTGCATCCTTAGAAATACAATGTTTCTATCAGTTAATAGCAATAAAGATTAGTTATGATAACTACAAATGTACTACCATAAAAGGAAAGAAAGTTGGATAAAGCAAGTGTTACATATCAGATGGCATGAACATGAATACAGTTGCCAATCTTTTTTATTATTACATCATCTTTTAAAGAAATCAAGAAATTAAATTTTTGGAGATCATCTTATGTTTCTTGTGGAAATGTAATGTCTTGTATGATTTGTTGGCATATTAATTTATATTGAGAGCATATCATAACAAAGTGCAGTTCATCTTCTATTTCATTCTGTGTACATTGTTTGCAAATTCTGTTTTCAGTAGATATTTTTGGTTGCGTATGCCTCCCTTTTTTTATTGCTAAATTGTGATTACTAGTTTGAAATTTTGTTATTGAAATTCTTTGTTTCAAATTCAACACATTCAAGTATTTTTAAACAATTATAAGAGACTCTGAATTTTTCCTGAAGTCCTCAGTTTTGTTTTTTCAGTTATATGTTTTCTCCAGAAATTTATGTATTTTTGCTTTATATGTTTTGTTAACAAACCATTCTGTTGTTCTAGTGAAAAAATTATGTTGTTCGTCATTTTTTGTATTGAAGAGTACCATTGTAAATAGGATTTCTTTTGTTCAAGGTATGCTTGTGTTGTGATATTATTGCCTGGTAGTTTACTGATACGAGACCAGTGTTTATTAAATTAATCTGAATATCTACCAAGAGTGGGAATTCTCCGACTTCGACTCTGCATGCAATATTTGCCACAGATTTGTTCAATATTAGAAATTGTTCATAAAAATTCAATTGTGTTTTTTCTGTTATTGTTTTGTCCCATTTGTTGTAATCTTGAATTTCACGACCCCAGATTTTAGACCCATGTTTGTTTGTTTTGTTATTTCCATATACTTATCCTGAAGTGATTGGATTGCAATAAAGATATTATTATCAAAAAAACACATACCACCTCATCAGTATCATAATTAAATTCATAATTTTAATAACGATACGAACGCAATAAACAATATTTAGTATTGTACCTCCATGATTTCAGTACCAAACCATGTATTGATATTGTCGTGTTGATGTCAACTCCGACCCTTAGCTGAGTCCGGATTTAAGCATCGAACTGTTAAGTGATAATCACAGTTTGACATATTGGCTGGTTCGTCATCTGTGAAGAGTAATAGACATAGATAACTTACAATTTTGTTCTCATCTACGACATATTCTTGAAGATTCTCCAGATACAGCTCATCCATCGCCATCTTATTTGCCGCGCCAGTTTAACCTTTCACCTATGACCTATGCCACAGTCTTCTTAACGTGTCACGTGATGTGTGTAACTAACTTCAGAGATAAATTTTAAAATTTTGGCGGTGAACTGTATTAGTATTTTAAATACAGGCAATGCAGATGTTCAAAAACAAGTTTTATATATATACGATTCTTCGAACACTCTTCAGGAAGTAAATCACAGTGGCGTGCTGATGGCGCGCGTACATCAGCATCCCATAATGCAATGCGGTAATGAAGTCATTGTAAAGAGAGAATAAGTACCAGCACAGAAAAATGAGATAATAAAATTATGTGTTTTATTACCGCAATATAGTCAACGGCTAAAAAGTACACAGTTTTGACAATAAATAACATTTGGTTAATGTGACGCCAAAATTATGAATATGAAACTATTACATCACGCGCATACTCGTATATGTTTCTCGTTTCTTGAATGCGAAATTTACACACTTTGAGGTGGGTACTACTCACGGGGTATATACATGTTCTTATATTTGAATGTGTTCGATGTCATTTCTTTTTAAGGGGTGTACCTTTTACATGTAAAAACTCTGGTGCGATCATGACAGAATTGAAGCCGAAGAAAACAATGTGCACGACTGTTTCATAGGAAAAAATATTAGAGGGTTGGCAAGTCTTGAGGGGTATTTACGTAAGCTGTAGTCAATTGTATTTATTTGCGTAACAATGTAATTCAAATAAATAAAAAAACGTAAATTCGTTGACATGGGCAAGTTGTAAATTGTAATCAGCTATTTTATTCGTCCGTAATTTGTACAAAGATCTAATTTTTTGTAAGCGAATAAAGCATTTTCCACATTAAATGCCGTAATTCGTGCCCAATTTCAAATTTTGGTTCTTAGACACAAATTATCAAGTACATTATAAAAGTGTAAAATGTTATTAGGAATTTGCATTATTTGTAAAGTGTAAAAACCCATTTTTTTTTACTGTAAATGAAACTTTCCATTTTATTTCCTGTTATTTTCTGTAACCTGTATCAGCTATCCCCCTTGCCCCCTTTATATTACATAAGGGGAATGAAAAAAAATACAACGAATTCATTCTTTGAAAAAATAACACAAACTAATTGAAGGAAAACAATATTTTGCATAGTTTTTCAGTTTTTCATGAGTTACTATCTCTAACTCATGATTATTCAAAAAAATGGTATTCGTCTTCGATTGTGTTTAAATCAATAATTTCAATAATTAATTTGTGTGCATATACTCTAAACATATGTAACGACGAATTTGAGAATATACTTATCAACACATAGCAAAGTTTTAAACATTTTAGATTGTTTTTGTGACCATTCGCGTCTTCTTGCCAGTTATTATAGAAGCATTTGTACTTGATATGCCCAATAAATGTATTTTTTTAGCGCAGTCGAATTGAACATTGTAACATTTATATGCATAACGAAAAATACGAAAATTTAAATACGAAAATCCAGTGTTAATAATTCTAATATAGCGTCGTGATTGAGTAGGCTGCACTGACCAAGCGTACATCTTACAGCATAGTTACACGCATAAGATGAGAGTTTGCAATACATATTTACAAAATGTGTGAATATCGCTTTATTATCAAATCCTCAATTTTTTCGTATTTTGCACTCAAACAAGTCGAATAATTTTTAATTTAATTGTGTGTGCATTTTTATTTTGATCTTTTGAAAGTTACCCACGTTAAGAATTTTATTAAATAGTGCCAATAACATTTATTTGGAAATTTCTGGAG